CCCTGCTTAAATTCCAGGAAGTCACCATCATTCTTCCTTCACATTTATCTTCAACTCTTGCCTCTTGGCATTGCCTCTTCTTACTGATTTAGCGAAGCCACAACCCTGGTTAGATTTCAACTCCCGCTGGGTATATGTGCCCACACAATTGAGCAGTGGCTAGAGAAATACAGTCCACAGATAGCCCACTTCCTATTCATGACCACTAACCTCAACTGGTCTTCCATGCTACAATCATACTAAAATTCTCTAGTCCATTCCCTCTCCCACTTGGCTGACTATGTTACATCTCTGTCCCCAGGAAAATGAAGCTACTGGAAGAGAACCGCCCCCCACATGTTACCACCACCTCCTCCACCCACCTAAGACATCTGTCCCTCCGTATGCTACTTTCCCTCCTTACTATTATTGAAGGATACTTTTTTAAAACGTAAAATCCTGATCCTCATGCAAATATAAGATAAACATGTGCCAACAATTTTACTTTACTCATTAAGGAAGGAACTAGCAAACTGTTAGAAACAATTCAAAGAGGACTTCCTAAAAGACACATATATGGGTACCAAGGCGTGCCAAAGTGAATGTAATAGATGCAAAATAATTGCTCAATAGTTTCAAAATTAGCCTCTTCAGCAGAGGGGGGAAAGCAATTGTCCCTCCATCGGACAAAATTCATTTGTATGTCTGTGGAAACTATTTGCATTCCTATCCATTCTCTATGAGTTGTAAAATAGCTCAAAGACTAGGGGTAGAGAACCCAAAAAGTGTGCTAGGAAGGACACCAGTACTATTTTTTGCTCACTTCAAAGTCCTCACAATTTTCTCCTGAAACTATAAACAGTCTCTCTGGATTTCTTCATAAAGCTAGGTCCCCCTTCTTGGGCACTAGATTCTACCCAAGGAGAATACTTGGCCATTCTTCCTCCCGCTAGATCATCATGTTTGCCCTTTCCTCAACATTTCTAGAAGCAGACAAATACCTTTTTAAAACCTTCTAACTCCATTTCCCTCACCAGATAACAAAGCCATTCCTGAGGTTTGGGTTGGTTGGTTGGTGTGCTGGTTTTGCTTTTAGTATTTTTGCAGCAAAACTAGAAAGATTGGTTATATTCTCACTAGCTTTGGTTCTCCTCCCACTGTTAAGATCCCTTTCGTAGATCGCATGACTCCAGCAAAGGAGACCTTTCTGTAGACCACATGACTCCAGTGAGGCTTCTCCGGGAAAGATCTCCAGGGACCCCACTAAATCCGGTGGTTGCTTCTCGGGATCCGTCCTGACACAGCAGCAGCAGCTGGTCACTTGCTCTAATCGTTTCCAAGACACAACACCCCTGGGTTCTCGTCCTAGCTCCCTGGCTCCCCTGATCCACCTACTTTTTATTTTCTCAAACCAATATGATGGCATCTTCCTTGACTCTCCTCCTTTCACACTCCACAAATCGATCTGTGGTTCTACCCTCAGAACACATCCAGAATCCATCCCTGTTATCATAACTCTCCTGACTACCATCTTGATCTGAGCTGCCATCATTTCTTGCCTAATTTACCACAACAGACTCCTAATTGGTCTCTCTGCTTTCTCCCTTATTCCTCCCAGCTGATTTTCAACACAAGCCAGAGTGATCCTTCAAAAACCTGTATCAGATCATGTCATACTCTCTCAAGACCTTGCAACGGCTCCCACTTTCTTTCAGGTAAAGGCCTAAGTTCCTATGATAACCTCCTAACCCCACATGATCTGGCCCCCAGTCACCTCTCTTGCTCACCTCCTCCTTGTGCCCTCATCCACTCCTCCCACACAGTGACCTCCATGCCCTTCCTTACACCTGTCAGTCCTGCTCCTCTGGTAGGCCTTCGCACTGGCTGTGCCCTCCGCCTGGAATGTTCTCCCCTAGATAGCCACCACACAGCTAACTCCCTCACATCCTTCAAGTCACTGTATTTGTTTTCTATCGCTGTGTGACAAAGTACGCCAGCTTCAAACAGCAGACCTCTGACAGTTTCTGGGCCTCAGGATTTCAGGAGCCACTGAGCGGGGTGCCTCCACCCCAAGGATTTACTTCAGTCAAGGTGGCACCTGGGCTGAGATCTCAACCGTAAGCTCTCCTGGGGCAGGACCCAGCTCCCAGCTTGCTCACCTAGCTGTCAGCAGGATTCAGCTCCCTGCGAGCTGCTGACCTAAGGGCCAGGAGCCTCCCTCAGCTCCCCACCATGCAGGTCTCACCACAGAGCAGCTCACAGCACAGTACCCAGGTCCCATCAGAGCAAGCAAGCAAGGGTGTGCAAGACGGGAGACACCATCTCTTTGTAACCTGATCTTGGAAGTGACATCCCAGTTCTCTTGCCAAATTCCGTTTGTTGGGAGGCAGTCACTAGTTCCAGTCCACATCCAGAGGAAGGGAATTATACAAAGGCAGCATGGCCAGGAGGTGGGGATAAGGGGAGCCATCCAAGAGCCTAATTACCACAGTCACCTTCTCAATGAGGTCACCTTCTTACTTAAAGTTGCAGTCTAGCCCTCTCTCATTTCCAATCCCCTTTGCTCTTAGGAGCATTAACAAACACTGTTTTGAGCCACTTCATTTTGAGGTGGTTTGTTCAATGGCAAAGAGCTAACTGATGCTCTCTCTTCTAAAGAAAATCTCTCTAATGTGCTTTTTCACTTATGTTTATTATCTTATTGTCTGTCTCTCTTCATTGGAATCTAAAATGTTGTTTGGGGGTTTTCTGTTTTGTTTTGTTTTGCTTGCAGATGTATCCCCAGCCCCAGCAGAGTGTCTGGTACATAATAGACACTCAATAAATATTCATCTAGAGAACGCTTCTGTTGTCACTGTTTTCTGCATAATCACTAATCTCCTGCCTTTACTTTGTTGCAGAATTACAATAATACCTGCCTGATGAACACTGAGCATCGTTTCTATTCACATGTATGAAAAACAATGATCAATTGTGCATTTATACGACCCAGAAGCCAGTAACAATTATGGTAAAGAGGAAATACAATGAAGTTTGGTCAAAAGAAATGCTTAGGAATCCATAAACTGTTACAATCCTACCCTCATATATTTATCAGGTTTTATAGAAGAAATGCAGCATTTATGGGAAAATTGGAATACATACATTTATTCTTCAAAATATTAAGATTAAAGCCTGTTTAGTGAAGAGGAAAGTGCTTACTCTTCAACATGAAGCCTGTATCTTTCATTCTTGTTCCTCTCCTACACTTAAAAAAAAAAAATCGGCACTTTGAGATTTTTTTTTGCTTCTTGACCTCTAGACCTATTACTCTGTGGCCTGCTATAACTATGACCATAATTTTTGACAAGTGTTTTAGATAAAATGTTTGAGGTTAAAGGAAAAAACAAAAACCCACACCAGGGGAAGTGTATAATTCAATAAGTTGGAAAGAACTTAATCTGATCCTCCATAATACTCCTTCAATCCTGAGCTTGTTTCTTTCAAGATTTTATTTTTGAGTAATCTCTGCACCCAATGTGGGTCTTGAATTTACAACTCTGAGATCAAGAGTCACATGCTCCACTGACTGAATCGCCAGGTGCCCCCAATTCTGTGCTTATGAAATGGTGAGATTAAGTCATTTTCAGTGCAAAATATGACCCATGCTAATGATTGAAAAGGATGGATGTTAGTTCAACATTCCACTTCTCATTCCCACTTAATTGTGGCCAAATCGCATTTCTAATTCATCTTTCTCCCTTCCCATCTAAAATTATCTGTTGGGGAAAAATAAAAATAAAGCTAATAAGGAAACTGCTTGGGGAAGTGAGGGTGGATATTTGGTAGTATTTTGGAAATAAATAAAAAATAAGTTTGCATTGCCATGGGAAAAAAAGCTTCAAAAAATTTAAAAATTAAAAAAATAAAATTACCTATTGGAGTCTCCTTCCATGATTTTGCTTTCAAGACACAGGAAAAAAATTTAGATTTCAGAGTCAACATGCAATTCAGGACCACAGCAGTTGGTGAGGGGCAATGAAATAAGAATGGATTCCCTTTCTTCCTTCCACACTCCGGGGATTAAAATTCTGAGAGTAAACTTTGTTAGTGGATGAGTGCCTTCCATGAAATCAAGGTCAGAAACTTGGAGATGGAAGAGACCTCAAAATTCCTGATTTTTTTCTAAATAATGTATTAACCTTTATAAATAAACCTAAATCTATTTTGTTCATAATCTCAGTAACATCTTTGGTGATCTTGTATCCTCTAAGTTTATCATACAACTTTTGTCTTTTATAAAACTCTCTCTTTCATTCTTCAAAAGTTTCATTTTTCCAGTCTAGAATTCCAGAACGTGTAGAGCAAATCAGTTTACCCCACCCACACTCATGATATTATATGCTCTAATGTTTTTCCCTTCTCAGGACAACTTTTCAGATTGTCACATTATTAAATGTTATTGTTCTTACTGTTGATTTATATGACAGGGACATGAGCTTTTAACTCAGATGAGTTTTGCTTGTGTCCACTGGATTGCATCTTTATTGGGGTGTGGGGATTTAGGTGCAGAAGCACCTGATAACATGAGAATATGTCAGAAATGAATAATCACCTAAGTATACCGTTTGGGGCATGGATGCTAATAAATTTTATTCATTAATAGGGTATAGACTTATCAAGATGAAAAGGCATTTGGGGATATGGATAGACCTTAAAACTGGTTAGTAGAGGTTCACAAGGGCATGGTTACCCTTGAGCATTGTATTGCCTTACAATACTCAGGACTACCTGTCATTTCCATGGCTTGACAAGGTCTGTCTTCATGACCATAAAATCCAAACTCTTTTATAGTGAGTGAAACAATAAAGACCTCAAGGCAAGTTCTTCTGCTCCTTGATGGAGCAACAGCACCCTGATTTGCCTAGTGAAGGAGAGAGTATTTAATTAAAAGTTATGGGCCCAGTTAGAAAGCTCACTCCTTCCTGTCGCACTTGCATAAACAGGCCCTCTGAATTATAATCAAATCATGAAGCCACGAGCCATTGCAGTACATTGAGCTCCATAGAGACAGCACCGGGGCAAGTGAGAGCCAGACGGGCACTGGGCGACTCTGTGCCTCGCTGAGGAAAATAATTAAACATGGGCAAAGGAGATCCTAAGAAGCCGAGAGGCAAAATGTCATCATATGCATTCTTTGTGCAAACTTGCCGAGAGGAGCACAAGAAGAAGCATCCAGATGCTTCAGTCAACTTCTCAGAGTTTTCTAAGAAGTGCTCAGAAAGGTGGAAGACCATGTCTGCTAAAGAGAAAGGAAAATTTGAAGACATGGCAAAGGCTGACAAGGCCCGTTATGAAAGAGAAATGAAAACTTATATTCCCCCTAAAGGGGAAACAAAAAAGAAGTTCAAGGATCCCAATGCACCCAAGAGGCCTCCTTCAGCCTTTTTCTTGTTTTGTTCTGAGTATCGCCCAGAAATCAAAGGAGAGCATCCAGGCCTATCCATTGGTGATGTTGCAAAGAAACTGGGAGAAATGTGGAATAACACTGCTGCAGATGACAAGCAGCCTTATGAAAAGAAGGCTGCTAAGCTGAAGGAAAAATGTGAAAAGGATATTGCTGCATACCAAGCTAAAGGAAAGCCTGATGCAGCAAAAAAGGGAGTTGTCAAGGCTGAAAAGAGCAAGAAAAAGAAGGAAGAGGAGGAGGATGAGGAAGATGAAGAGGATGAGGAGGAGGAGGAAGATGAAGAAGATGAAGAAGAAGATGATGATGAATAAGTTGGTTCTAGCGCAGTTTTTTTTTCTTGTCTATAAAGCATTTAACCCCCCTGTACACAACTCATTCCTTTTAAAGAAAAAAAGTGAAATGTAAGGCTGTGTAAGATTTGTTTTTAAACTGTACAGTGTCTTTTTTCGTATAGTTAACACACTACCGAATGTGTCTTTAGATAGCCCTGTCCTGGTGGTATTTTCAATAGCCACTAACCTTGCCTGGTACATTTTGGAGGTTGTAAATTGGCATGGAAACTTAAAGCAGGTTCTTGTTGGTGCACAGCACAAATTAGTTATATATGGGGATGGTAGTTTTTCATCTCCAGTTGTCTCTGGTGCAGCTTCTATGAAATAATTGTTGTTCTGTTAACTGAATACCACTCTGTAATTGCAAAAAAAAAAAAAAAAGTTGCAGCTGTTTTGTTGACATTCTGAATGCTTCTAAGTAAATACAATTTTTTTTATTAAAAAAAAAATCATGAAGCCACATTAGTCACTTGCATGACTTCCACAAGTTTCAGGAAACATTGGCTCGTGTGTGAGGAAACATTAAGATGCCATTGTATAAATTTATACTTACAATAAAATTCAGATTTACATAAAACTAATTGAGAAATTAAATCTGTTGGGAGAAACGGTTCCACAAGAATCAACACTTCTGAAGTACCAAAATGTATATCTCAAAATAAGTTATTAGAAAATTATCTTAGTGTTGTCACAGCCTATAAAACATTCTTAGCAGTTGCATCAACAGAAAGATCTTTTCCAAAATGAAAATGATCTACTTGAGATCTTGCATTTGCCAAGAGTGACTGATGTTGCTTTCAGTCATAGCTACTGAAAAAGAAACTGCATGCAATGAATTTCTTATCTATGGAAAATGAAAAATAAAATGACAGGATAAATCTTGGTGAATTTGCAGACAAGTAAGCCAGAAGAATTTCATAATCAATCAAGATATCATATTAATGAACTATTATTATTTATTGTGTTATAATTATGACATATTATTACATATTATTTTGCAATTCTTAAATTCATGTAGTTATTCATGTGTCACATTAGTACCTTCAATTAAGTGCACTTTTCCCCCTGCATTTGCTTTTGTTGTTGTAGTTGTTTTTAAAGAGAGAGAGAGTGAGTGGGAAGGGAGAGGCAGAGGGAGGAGAGAACCTTAAGCAGGCTCCACGCCCAGGGCAGAGCCTGACCCAGGGCTTCATTGCATGACCCTGAGATCATGACCTGAGCCAAAAATCAAAAGTGGGACGCTTAACTGACTGAGCCACCCAGGCTCCACTTTCCCTGCTTTTTAAAGAGGTCCCACATTTTCATTTTGCACTGGGCCCAACAAAGTATGTAGCCACCCGTGACTGCATGACAGGTGTTTGTCGTAAGCCATTCCTGAAGACAGTTCACAGCTACAAGTGCTTAAAAAGTGTAGAGAAGATCACGAAATGCAAGAAAATGCGTGTTCTTAATGTGTTCCATACAAAACTTAGCCGCTAGTAGACATGTAATCTATGTTCAGAGTAAAACAATGTAACAGTATGAGCTGGAGTACAGAGTTTTGCATAAGGAAAAATCTGTTTCTATTTGATCCAAAACAGATGTCACGAAAGAACAATTTAGGACAATTCCTCCAATGGGTTGGCGTACTCGTGAAAATTATGGTTTCTGCCGTCTAAAAGAATGAGTTTATCAAGGATAAACTTCCTTTCAAATGAGGGTGAAACTCAGGTGCATTATTAAAAGTAAGCCTGTCTGACTACCCTTCTATCAGCATTCTCTGATTTCTAACTAGAGAAAGCTCTTTGTCCAAAGATCTGAGAAATGGTCACCATAGTATGGGTCCCCCTTCTATTCTTGGTTTCTTCTGAAATGACTCCTTCCAGTAACTCTGCCTGAGAAACAAAATCACAATAGAGATGACTAACATTTGAGGATGAAACAACAAGGAATAGAACTTCTACCAGATAAATCAAATTTGTTTCCCATAAAGCTAAAAAAGATCTACTTATTATAATTATAACTGTTTTAATTTCTGTACGATTGTTGTATAAAATTCATTTATTGCAAGAATTACGAAACATAGAAAAGATTCATATTTACCCAAAACAATTTTACTTCTTTCTTCTTGCCTTTTAATAACATAATGGATTCTTAAGTGGTATAATTTGTACGTCAGTGCTTTTAATGGGCCCATTTTAGCCCCATTTCTAATGCTTGTCTTCTTAAAATAGACTGAGAAAAGGTGTGTGTGTGCACAGAATCACCGTGAAAGGTATCATCACTGTTTAAAAATCAGGAAGAACATTGCAATACATACAAGAATCAGAAAGTAAACATGTGTAATACAAACAGATTTATGAGATATAGATATATCTTATACATTTTATATACATATATGTATCTTACAAGTTTTTTGCATCATGCCTCCGTTTTCAAGGCTGACTCTATCAAAGTTAACTTTGGAAGACAAAAACAAGTGAGGAAGAGCTGTCTGAGGAGTGTGTGGACAAGAGTGGCCTTCCTGGGTGAGTGGCGGCGATTATAGACCGAAAAGCCATGGGACTTTTGTTAGCCCGGGCTCCCTACCTTCCTACCCACCTCTCCCTCCTGGGCCTCTCTAAAGGACTACTGAGTGCCAGAAACAGGATTTTATAGTAAAAATAACGTAATGAGTTAGAAAGGGGTCAGAGAGGAAATCATGTTTACCATACAGCATCTCGTCAACACAGTGGTGTGTGTACACACACACAAACACACACACACACACACACACACACACATACACACGACCAGCTGTCTGTTTCGGTAAAGTCTCCCAGGAAGGGTGGGGCTTTGGGACCTTCCCTGCAGGCTTCTTGTTACCACATGGGTGTGGTTCCAGTTCTACGGAGGGTGTCTGGCTTGGGTACTTTCATACTGTAGGTCTATAAAGGACCAAGCTTCCTGCTCCAGCATGTGGAGGAAGGATAACAAACTGGCAGGCTGCCAGCCAAACCCAATGCACAGATAGGTGTTTTTGTTTTGTTTTTTTATTTGAATTGGTGACGGTAATAGTTAATTTTATGTGTCAGCTTGGCTAGGCTATGTTGCTTAATTATTTGTTCAAACACTAGTCTAGATGTGTCTGTGAAGATATTTTATAGATGTGATTAACATCTACAATCATTTTTTATTTTTTAAATTTTACTTATTTGTTTGAGAGAGAGAGAGAGAGCACGAGGAGGAGAGGGAGAAGCAGACTCCCTGCTGAGCAAGGAGCCCGACGTGGGACTCAATCCCAGGACCCTGGGATCATGATTTGAGCTGAAGGCAGACGCTTAGTGAACTGAGCCACCCAGGCGCCCCCTACAGTCATTTTTTAAAATATATCTTCTAAATAATCTCCATACCAATATGGGGCTCGAACCCACACCTTGAAGATCAGGGGTCATGTGCCCCACCCACTGAGCCAGCCAGGCACCCCAACATCTGTGATCATTTTATTTATTTATTTATTTTTTTAAAGATTTTATTTATTTGTCAGAGAGAGAGCGAGCAAGCACAGGCAGACAGAATGGCAGGCACAGGCAGAGGGAGAAGCAGGCTCCCCGCCGAGCAAGGAGCCCGATGCGGGACTCGATCCCAGGACGCTGGGATCATGACCTGAGCCGAAGGCAGCTGCTTAACCAACTGAGCCACCCAGGCGTCCCTGTGATCACTTTAAGTGAAGGAGATTTCCCTCAATGATGTAGGTGGGTTTCATCTAATAAACTGGAGGCCTTGAGAGAAAAATATGAGGTTTCCTGAAGAAGGAATTCTGCCCCAGAACTATAATAAAAAAATATTGCCAAGTTTCCACCTACTGGCCTGACCAAAGCATTTCAGCCTCACTAGCCCCTAATCACTTGAGCCAATGTTTTAAAATTAATTTATTTCTCTCTCTATGTACACACACACACACACACACACACATTTGTTTTATTTCCCAACTTCCATTGCAATAACTGTGGCCATGGGGCTAGGTTCTTGCCCAGATATAAACAGATGTGCTTTCTGGCAGCTCCTTAAAAGACACTTGTGTCCTCTTCTTTCTCCAGCCAATCCTCCATCCTGCTTCCTGAAACAGGCTGCTAGGGCCTGGAGGTAAAGACGCAGCCTAGGCAGGATAGAGCAGAAAGCTGGGAAGAGCCCAGATCCCTCATCACTGTGGAGCTCCTGAATTAGTTCTCGACTGCCTCTTGCAAGAGAAAAACATTCCAATCTAATTTACCCTAGATGCTGTTTTGGATTTTCTCTTATATTTAGTGGAGTATAATCCTAATTCAAAAGCCAGGAAATTTTGCATAAGAATTTTGCATCATTTTCCACAGGAACGTTCTCGAATTGGTGGAGTCCACAAAGGAAGATGTTTCTGGCGGAACTGAGGCACTCCTCCACCCTTGAGATGCCACATTAGTAGCAGTTCTGCAGGTCCCCCTGTGGACGGAGGGACAGGTCTCAGTGTCCACAGACACTGGCATGGGGTTCAAGCTCTGCTGTCAAGGCAAGGCAGGAGGGAAACAGGGAAGCAGGTGCTTCCATTCCGTGGCTCTGACCTATTTTTCATTTTAAAGACCTTCATCTTGTCAAATCAATTTGTATTCCTCTAGTCCACATGATTTTGACCTAATACCTTACTAATACTCAGTCTATTTTAGTGAAAGAACATTGCCCCCACCCGATTTCCAACCAGCTCTCCACCCTGGACAGCATCACCAAACTTCTTGCATTAACTTGACAATGGAGGGATCTGGACCTGAGAGGATGTTCCCTAATCTGGGGGGAGGTGCTGAGGGGATAGAACTTGGAGTCTCAGTGGCAGTCAGCTTAAATGGACGAGGCCATCATTTGGGAAGAGAAATGTTGTGGGTTGAAGAGTTCTTGGTGAGTTAGAGATTGATTCTTGCCTTTGGCTGTGAATGAACTTGAGAATACCAGGATGTAAGCAGAAAGTAGGATGAACTCTGTTGCTCAGAACTAGGCCAAAGACAAAGAAGGCACAGAAGAGGCCTCAGAGCTGCTCAGGTCATTTGGGTGGATGTCTGAGTGCGGAATGAGACTGACCTTCAAACA